GTCGCTTCTGAACGTGACGGCAGGCACGCAGGCACTCAGGCACAGCAAATGGCAATGGCAACCCAGCAAAAAAAAAAACATACACAGTAAGGTTCCTTCCTGCCTCTGAAATGAGAGAAAGAACACTGTCCAAAACAGCTCGAGGTGTGGCGTTATCCGGTCGGTGAAGTCAGCCACTTGGAAGCCGCCGTTGACCGCCCGTGGAGCGCCGCCCCTGTTTGATTCGCCAAGTCACGGGATGCTCGCCCCACCACGGCTTCAGCTGGCCGGCCTGTCCATGATCACCCCGCCGTTGATGTAGCACCAACACTGGCTATCCCGTCCTTTTCTCTTCTCTTCCGCTGCCTGTAAAAGGTACAGTAGGGAAAGCTCACGTCACAGAGTGAAAGGAGGGATGAAAAGAGTCGCATGCTGACCTTGCTGGCTCAATTGATCATTTACACGTGTATGCCCTACCGACCGATGGTGGTGCACCGCAAGTGAGCCTGTACCGTTCACTAGTACCTAATAAACCAATTCTACTCACTTAGTGCACTGCACCGCGCTCCGCGCTCCCACCTCTCCGTAAGGTTAGGTACTTCCTCTGTACTGTGTAGAGGTTGGCTCACTGGGCTGAAGGGCCTGAGGCGAGTCGGGGCCGCGTCCCGGGACACATCTCATCTCACATTCGAGCAGCCCTCCCGGCACGCCGGGTCAGATGGGCTGTCTAAAAATTCCAGACCGCCTCGCACGCTTGTCAGGTCGTCCGTCCTCATGACCTTTTCCACCCCCGGAGGACTCGCCGAAGGCGGGAAGGACCCTGAAACCGACATCGGTATCTGTCCGGTCAAACTGCACGTTTTGGCCGCCGTTGGAAGAAAAAAGTGCACCCGCATGCTTCTAAACATACGTCCATACCTTTTTGCGCGCGGGCTCTATTACTGTGCGTACCTATGTACGGGTACCCCTTGAGAGTCCTGACTCTTGCACATACAAGTGACTGGTCCAAATTCATCGCGGCCCCAGGAATGACCTACACCAGACCCCACCCAGATCTGGTTCCGCGATGCATGTTCCAAGTTTTGGTTTTTTTTAGGGGTCCTGTCACCTGGTCACTTTGGCCAGGGCAGGAGACCTCGGCATCCCGGCATCCATTCCTCTATTCATACAGTTTGCAAAATATTGGTTGATAATGAGAGGAATTGGTGGCCTCTTGCTTGATACCAATTCGGCTCTCACGGAGCTGCTAAGTCACTTCACTGCTGACTAGCCAAAAATTGCCAATGGCCCTCACGGGTATAACGCCGATGGAACTCGAGTGACGACTGACCAGCAAGGACCCAACGGCGATCCACGGGGAAGAATTTACAATGTCACATTGGCCTGCTCATGAATTCCTTTCCTTTAGCTTTGCGCCTGTGCGACCAACCTGGGGAAGAGTCTTCAGCCTTTTTGCGTGAATCAAGAGTTGACAACTTATTACCAAAAGAGTACGGGGTAATAGCGCAACGGCCAAATAGGACCATTTTCACGCCCACCCAAACTAATTTAGACTCTCCAATTCCTGGGATCAATGGTTTTTTTCACACTTGCAGCTCAAAGCGTCTCGTGAACTGATATGGCCTTTTGCTTTCAAGTTCGTCCCTCTGACGAAGCCTCTACATCTCAGCGAATCAGTAGCCTCAACCGATGTCCAAATGAGGTAAAAGATACCTTTACTTGAACCCTCTTCCTACCCGATAGTTTCCCCTTTTAACTGTCACCCAAAGTCAGATCCAAACAAGCTTGCTTCACGTGTTGTATCCGTATTCCTCTTTTGTTCTGTCCCCCGCCTCAAATTATATTACAATGATATCACTCGTGACTCCCCAACAAAGTCAATCCCGGTTTGCCAAACGCTCGGGGCCGCAACCCTCTTCCCGCGCAGTGTCAAAGACTTGCGACCGACATGGTACAATCTCATTCCTTAGCATCTTTCAAAGTTCCCTTTCGGAGGCTTCCATGGCTCAGCTGTGGTAATTGGGTCTCACCTGTCCAGGCACAGCAATGGTAGCGGCCGTGGATGTGATACTTTTGAGCCGTAGGGAACGAGGAGATCAATAGAAGCCGCACCAAGAATACAATACCTAACAAATACTCTACCTTACCGTGCAGAAACTAATCCGATTCATCGTCATCATAATCATAATCATCATCGTCGTCGTCGTCTAGCGGAACCCGACGAGCCCAGTATGGATTCGTCTCAGCCGTCGTCGCAATGCCCTCCTGCGCATCATCCAACATCTGCGCCGCCTTCGGCATTTCAACCCACGACAGCCGCGCGTAAATATACTTGACCTCCATCTCATCGACAGTGTACTCGGGACCATCGTACACCGCCCGCGCCAGCTCCCGGGTCTGCCTCTTGAGCCCGCACACCAGCGGCGACGCCGTCGCACGGTAGAGGAACCTTATTTATATCAACGATGCAGTGCGGTCGTCCTTATTTGAATTGCTTGATATTTTGATGTACATGAGCCCCCTTCTATCAGGGGCATCTGACAGCTGGTTTTGGCCTAGGCCCTCTATTCTATCCATCAATTTGGCCTTGGCATATACGTGCCATATAACCATAATGTTACATGTGTGGTATAGTACATATCTACAGAATTTCAATCGTTTCGAAAACCTCGTCGATGGTGGTTTTGTTTTCGTGCTTCGTGTTCTTCGGTTTCGTCTCCGCCGCCTGTTCAAGGCGATCCCATGCGGACAATTGACCCTGATTCTCTGAAAGAGTGTTGCTTTTACTCATGGTTTTCTGCGCCAGCTGTGCTTCTGACGCTTCCTCCAGCCGATTCCAAGCAGACCAGTCGACCTCTTCCTCCTGCGAGAAGGACGTCCCGGGCTGGTCTTCCGGAAGACCCTCGGGCACTGGCCAAACCAACTTCGTCGCTCTCCACATCCTGTACATCTGCGGAGAGCCCGAATCAATGCGAATGGTACTGGCGCTACCCGTTTTCACGCGCTGAACGTAGTCGCGCGCGCTTTTCAACAACCACTCCGTTTGGTGTACAGTGTGGGCTATTCGTGCGATATAAACTACACGTTTCTGCTCCTCGCTCGACACGATCGAGAACATAGGATCTTTCAGGAACGGTGCCACGCTGTTTGGCAAGCTGTGTTCCAAGCCGCAAATATCCAGTAGGCTCCGTATGCGCCGCGCAAGATATAGCTTGTCGTTCTCTCGAAAGAATGCTCGCTTGATCAGTGCGGGGTTGCTTTTCAGTAGTTCCAAAAGCTTGGCTGCAGCTGTGCGATCTAGGGAGCGGGCGCAATAATCGAGCAGCTCGGAGGTCGTCCGCGAGCTAATCAGGAGGTCTGCCGTGATGCTCGCCGCAAATGCACCCACGGCAGCCCTCAGTCTGTCGAAAGCCAACATGCCTTCGATGATGGTGGCAAAGATTTTTTCATCAAAACGCGCCCTCTCGACGACGTAATGGGAGCCGACTGCGACATCTTTCGTTTTAGCCCAACCGTGAAGGGAGAAATTCTCCGCCACATCATCGTGCCTTTTTCTCCGGATTTTGACGCCTCGTTGGTCTTTGCCAGTCATGCGAGCGATGAAACCCGAAAAGTTGTCTGCGTCCTTTATCGTTCTGTAGTGATTCAGGATGCACACCAGGGTAAGCTGTGTGGGCTCGAGCTTGCCCTGGTAGAAAGAGAGGACCACTGCTGAAGCAAGGCGATGCATCCCAACTCTGTCCAGGCCCGCAATAAGATGGTTGTATGTGTGGATGGTGAGGGACGAAGGCGATACGAGGAGATTGTGACATACACTGTAAATCGTATGTTGAAAGTTCTCAGGAGTCGAGGCGTCAAAAACACTCCTCAACGCCTTGTTCAGCTCCCGGCTCCACGTGTTCAGAGCCTCGTTGCTCAGTTCGCTTTCATCCCAGATAGGGAACTTCTTCCGTATCAGCTTGTCTACCTCCTCTCGCGCCGTTTGCATTCCTTCGCGTCCAACCATAGATTCGCCTGCGTCGAGAAATCTGTAGACCAAAGCTTTCGTTGCCACCGCTGCCGCCTTGGCTTGCCTCGGCGTCCGCGGTGCGCGGTGCTCAATAGGCATCCACTCTTCTGTCGCGAGCTTCTTAATCAAGGCTTCGTAATTGACCCCTCTGACTTCGTTCGAAGGACTCAGCTCGTATATCTTCCATAAACGGTCCACGTCGGCCTTTGTCGCAACAGTTCTCTGCCACCTGTATGAGGGCCCGAGGGCGTCGAGAATCTTGCTGATTTCGGGGTTTTGTGGAACGTGGTCTTGTAATGCGCCCGGATACCGGTTGCCAACGTCACCAGCAGGTGGTTTCTTAGGAGCTTTCTCCTTTGCTTTTTCAACAAGATTTGCCAGCTCGCTCGAGACCTCTTCAATTTGTCGGTCCAAATCCTTTCGCCGCCTGTCTTTCCTCCCTGCATCCAGCATCGCAGCCGTTCCCATTATCGATGTGTAGCACGCCGTGAAGATCTCGCTAAAGGTCGGTTTTCGTTGCGTCGAGCGCGTCGCCGACTGCCGTATCATGCCCCCGGAGGCATTAAAGCAGGCCTTGCAGCCGCATCGGTGCGCCTGGCCCGCTCTAGACCAGATTGCCTGCATTCTGACGGCATGCCGGCTATTGTGGCAGCCTCTCCGAGTCGAATTGATGCGTTGACGTGCGACGAGGCGTCGAGGGTGGTTGAAATGGTCGGTACGTTCCAGGCGCGGAAATTATCGTCTGATGCACAATTACTGACGATCGACTTAGCTTGGCCGAGATGACGGGTCCAATTGACAATGGCCGATTGAAAATGTAGATAGACGTTATGCGATTAGGTGATTGTTGCGGCTAAAAGGTGTACTCGCTTATAGCAATGGCACAGCTGCCCCTCCATGAGGTAACCCCACCATGACTTTACAGCGACCCTCGATCAGTTTTAGGTGTGAGAAACAATCAAACAACCACAATCCGAACGGCACTGAGCTCAGAAGGAAAGCCAAACTCACAATGTTCGCCCTTTATCTCACAGCCGAGCTCAACGGGTAAGTTTTAATGGTTCCGAGGTCTTAGAACACGACATCTTACTCTCCACAGAGTCACGAATCTCCGCCCCGATGATAGCGAGAGTAACCCCTTCTGGTACACCTTCAAAGTTCAGTGCACATCCTGTCGCGAAGTTCATGACAAGACCGTCGGCGTCAACCGCTTTGTGAGTTTCTCCCCTGGTCATAAGGCTTTCGGACAGTCCACTCATTTGCTGCGCAATCCAGGACGAAAATGAAATGAGCGGCAGCAGAGGCGAGGCCAACTTCGTCTGGAAGTGCAAGAACTGCAAGCGCGAGTCTTCCGCTTCCGTAAAGGCCGCCCCAGCTTCGTATGAACAAGGCGAGCCCGCGAAGCAGCAAAAGATTCTCGAGTTCGACTGCCGTGGACTCGAGTTTACCGAGTTCATACCCGAAGGCGAGTGGCTCGCCGAGGGCATTGATTCAAACAGCAAGTTCTCTGCTATTGAGCTCACGGACGGCGAGTGGTATGACTACGACGAGAAGGCAGGAGAGGAAGTGAGTATCAAGGATCTAAAGTGGGAAGTCAAGCGTGCTTGAAGGTGTTTGATGAGGGTTCGGTTTACGGAGTACCCTAGTACATCGCGTGGCGTCTGGTGTGACTTGGGGTTCAATGCGGTATGGCGGACGTGGGACAAAAGCAAACGGCATGAGATTTTTGGCATTCATAAGCCCTTTGATCATTATCGAGACATATCGCCTGCATTAGCACGGACGAGGCAATGTTTACAGCACCCAACGTGTGGTCCAGCCTTCCTGGGTTCAGAATGTATGGGTATTGAACATCTCTATGCCTAATCTACAAGAAGGTCTTCCCCTGCCCTCTATTCCATGCATGACATCGTCAAATACGTCAAAAGTAGCCAGCCCGTCCTCTCTCATCCCGACGTTCCTCTCCACGTTCTTCGAGGCCGAGCTAGCTTCGAGATTCTAATCTCGTTTCCTTTCCTTCGTGATCGTTCCGAGCAAACGAGCGAGTCACTCCTCATATTTTTGGATGCAAGCGAGCCAAAGACAAGCTGTTATCCGCGGAGTACTCAGTGCTCATGCCCAGAAATCACGATATAACCCAGGCAATGGGCCAGGCAAAAATCCAGACGTGGGTTATGCCATGTTCAAGCGTGTTGCTCTTGACAGCAAAAATGTTCCGTCTGCAGCAAAAGAAGAACTATCTCTCATCACTGTGCGTATTTTCGATGCACGACAGTGATGCCCGGGTGTGTAGCTCCCAAGACGGTTCTGTGTACTAAGACGAATGTAAGGCTCATCGTGATATTCGGAGCCTCGCCGCTTAATTCCGAGCGGCCGGTAGTTGGAGACGTGATTTCGGCAAGGACCACGTTGGAACCTCAGGACAAAACCCCGACGGTGTTCCAAACGCATCCCCAGCACAGTTCCGTCTCCAATGTACAGATCAGCGTGCCCAATCAGAGGAAGTAGTCGCCCGGTCCGCGGCGGTTGGCAGGGACATGGCGTTGTTCGTCGGGGACTGCCGAGAAAATGCTGAACTTGGGGTTCATATCCTTGTCGACGGTCATGATGGACGCAACATTACCGCAGCGGTAGCAGTAGTTCGGAGCCGACCACACGGTGACGACAGAGTTCTGCGGGAAGTGATACTATTTTGCGTTAGCATAAACCCAGTAATGCGGACTGACAATAGGCACTGACCTTGTAACCCTCATTGACAAGCTGGTGAGCTCTAGCGATGAGCTTAAGACCGTTCACGTGGTTGAACTCGGTTGCAACCTTGTCGCCAAAGAGCCAGCCGGCGCCGCGAGGGCTGATAGCCCAAGTCTCGACGTCTTCGGGGTCGGACCAAACAAGATCGCAGAAAGCGCCCTCGTGAGGGATCTCCTGCGCACGAGCAACGACGCGGATCTGGTCGATGGTGCGGATCTCCGGACTGAGACCACCATGGACGCAGAGAAGCTCTCCATCGACGATAGCAGCAAGAACGAGGAAGTCGAAGACATGGCAGCACGCCTTCCACACGGAAGCGTTGCCGTACTTTTGCTGGCACTCCTCGTAAAATCCGTACACCTGGGTGATTTGACGGGACTCGTGGTTGCCACGAACAAGGACGATTCTGTCGGGGTATCTGAGAAAGATTAGCACGATAGTGCAACTGACAGCAAAAGTTACCTACTTGGCCTTCAAGCACATGAGAAGAGTAAAAGTCTCCAGACTGAAGTAGCCACGATCGACGAAGTCGCCCAAAAAGATGAAGCGGGTATCGGCAGACTGCGATGTGGTGGAGACCTCAACGGCGGAGTCGGCTCGGGAAGTCGCGCTGGTATCAGCAGCCGCGGCGTCGTCCTCATCGTCTTCATCAGCAGGGGGGCTGCCAGCATTGCGAACCTTCTTTTTGAGCTTCGGGTTCGTAATCTCGGTAGGAGGCTCAATGTCCTCGGGGCTGATGACCGTGGTGGCAGTCTTGGGGGCCTCCACATTCGACTCGCCAGGCATTCCGCCCGCAACACGGAAGAGCTCCAGCAGATCGTAGAATTGGCCGTGGATGTCACCGCAAATTGTGACCGGGGTGCACACAGGCTGAATATTGGATTCTAGTTTCCACAAGTCAGCACAAGGTCAGAGAAGAGAGGATTATAGTATTCCTCACCCTCCATGAGCACCTCCTTTACAAGCTCGCACAGCTCTTTCATGGCGCGCTCGGGCAAGTAGTGACACTGCTTGGCTTCCTCCAGCCACTCGTCTAAGCCTGCATTGGGGGAGAGTTTGGCGGGGCCGGGTCGGGGAATGTGGCTCGCCATTTTTTCGAGTATTTGGGTATGCACCTGAGATGTTATCTCGATGTCGTACGGGTTGAAGTCTTCGGAAATGTTTGGATTGAACTCGGTGTAATACACAGCCAAGTCGTCGTCGATATCGTCGGACTCGTAGTAGCTCGGATCGAAATCCTCTGGGAAATCGTCGAGATCAAGACTTCCGCCGCGGAGCGAAACGTGCGATGAATCGTTGGACTGTTGAATGGACCGACCAATCTGTGCGGTGCGGATACCGGGCTCCTCAGAGCGTTCGAGTTCCTCGTATTCGGTCGATGGCTCCTCCTGGATGGTCTCAGGGGGAGGTTGATTTTGGTTCGGGCCAGGGAAAGCGAGAGAAGAGGCGTTCGACGGTGTTGAGAATGATGCAGACCTGGCACGGCGACGTGAGGGCGTTGGAAAAGGCTCCTGCTGATTCAAGGCGACCGGGTGTGACTGCAAAGGCGAAGGGTGCGGTGGAGCACTGTTCTGAGCGGGGAGCGTCGGAGGGGTATTATGGGCAGCACGGCTGGGTGCGGCTGCTGGGGACTGCTGGGCAGTGCTAGCAGGGGGGAGCTCTGGTAGAGGACGAGGGTTCTGTGAGTTCCAGGTGCTTTCGGGTAGTGAATTCTGCAAGAATGATTCGAGTGTCCGCTGGTCATGGGCTTTGCGACGCAGAACTCGCTGGTTGTACTCGTCGAGCGGGTTATCGAAACCTCCAACTACAACGGGACGGCCTGAATTGGGGTCTCTGAGTTGTCGGCGCGGCGGACTGTTAAGAGGGGGGAGGGTGGGGATGTAGCCAGAACGACCAGGGACTGGAATTCCACGACCGCGGACGGACGCTGGGGTAGCACGTTCAGATGCGACAGGCACCTGCTGAGGATCGGGAGGATGATGCGCTCCGAAGTTGATGGGAGTCGCGCCCGGTGGAACTGACGGAACTTGAAAAGATACTGCTGCGCTGCGGTTGCGAGCACGGTCACCAGTCGGTCTGCTCCGTCTGACAGTGTTGGTAAGCGGATTATTCTGATAGCTGTTTGCTCGCCGGATGGCCGCTTCGATCTCTTGCGCAGTCGGCTCTCTGTACTCAGAACTCGTCGCAGCTTCCCGTGGATGACTTCCTTCCGTAACTTGGGCAGGTGAAGCTATTTTCAACTGTTTGAAATCCGGAAAGGTCTCCGGGTAGACGTCGGTATCCTCGATTTCTTTGTCCTTGATGTTCGAGGTACCACCTTCTTTCTCTTGACCTGCCATCTTGATGGCTAGTGGGTGCTGGGTGAACCTCGGAATAGTTGGTTGATCGGAATATTGTTTGACCGAAGGTGCTCTGTGAGAGGTTGTGTCTTTGCCGAGGTTTTTCCGAGAAGAGGTTTGTGGGGCTGTGTGAGAAGAGGAGTGGAAGAACAGCCCTTGGGCCCCACCCAGCCAAAGCTATCCAAAAAGGGCTAGTGCAGGTGATAAGATAAGGTCCACCTGAGGCAGTGGCACATTGTGAGCCATTCTTTCAGATCTGAGGTTAAGGTGAACCCAAAGCCCCGCGTCACTACCCTGCCATCACATCACCTTTTGACATCTGAGCCAGGTCTTGCACACACCTTCTTGGACCCTTGCGCAGCGCACTTCGTCTTTCGGAACACTCCCACTACACATTTTCCAATGTTTCTTGCACAGCTTATCACCAGGCCACAAGATAAGAAACAATAACCAAACAAAACAGCATAGCCATCCTATATCAGGTATCGATCCCGAGCATACGAATACAAGGCTATCTATTTCATAATGGCAACCTCTGGCGCCCAAGGCGCATCTCGAAAGACAAATGGAGTTCTTTCGGTCTCCGGTCAACAGGCAACTACTGATGCGCCAAAGTCCAATAAGAGTAGGACTCCCGTCGAGGGCGACAAGGTTGTTATTCGAAGACTGCCCCCTGGCATGACGGAGCAAGAATTATGGAACAACCTAGGCGACGAATGGAAGGCTGGCAATGGCCTCGTCAGCTGGCACAATTTTGAGGCTGGGAAGATCTCTCATGAGTACGTGCTTACTCCCATGTGTCCAAGGGTTGGTGGCTAATGCTTCTTGCGCCTAGCCCTGCGAAGCCATCGAGGCCAGGACGAGTCTATCTTCATGTTCTTAAGCGCGAGAGCCTTAACACATTGTCGAATCTGATCCAGGCCAAGTCTTGGGAAGATGCAAAGATGACGTCCAATAGCGCTTCTCTAGTCGGCCCGCCCGTTCTCGAGTTTGCGATTTACAACAAAGTCCCGAGTAGCAAAAAGCGCACCGATCCAAGGCAGGGAACTATTGATCAGGACCCCGAGTTCATGGCCTTTTTACAATCCTTGACCAATCCTGAGATTGACAAGGACAACGAGAGCAATGAGAACAAGGACGTGGAGGAAACGAAGCCCGAAACGAAGGTCACAACGACACCGTTGATTGAGTTCCTCAAGGAGAAGAAGGCCAACAAGCAGAAAGAGGCTGCCGCCGCTAAGAGCGCTAAGCAGGCTCGGCAGGACTCCAGCACCAAGGGCAAGTCGTCGGCATCGACGGCGGAGGACTCAAAGAAAGGCAAGAAGGACTCTAAGGGAGACAAATCGGCCGATAAACCCAAAGAGACGGTCAAAATCCTCACCAAAAAGGCTACTGCGGACGCTGTTAAGGCCGCAGAAGCTGTCGCCAACCAGATCACGCAGGCCTCCTCTTCCTCGTCTCAGGATCAGCCCAAGAGTAGGCGAGCTGGTATTGCGGCTGCTGCCCGCATCTTGCAGC